AGATGACCGGATGTGGGTTCGTCATGGCAAGCGAAGAGGACGTCGTCTCGCATGTCTCGAGGAACCACCAGGAGGTAGGCACGGTTGTTCGAACGAGCGTTCTTCTTGTACAGCACACCATCTCGAAGGCAGAACGACGGCAACGAGCGGAATAAATGACGTGGTATGATTGTGTCCTGGCCCTCTAAATGATCGATGATCGGACGAATCTCTGCGTCATCCCGCTGCCGTTTACTCAAGTCTGATGAGCTAATGGCGCCCAGGAAGCCTTCGTCTTCCTCTGCTTCCTGACTGACGACATGAAGGGGCGCGCGTGACAGTGTGTCAGCGTCTTCATGCTTACGGCCGGACTTATGGATGATGGCGACGTCAAATTCCTGCAGCCGCAAGCTCCACAGTGCTAGCCGTCCTGAAGGGTCGCGCAGGCTTGCCAACCAGCAGAGGGCGTGGTGGTCCGTCACTATCTTGAAGGGACGACCATAAAGGTACGGGCGGAACTTGGTGATTGCCCACACGACTGCGAGGCACTCTTTCTCCGTAGTGGAATAATTCGCCTCAGCACGCGATAGAGAGCGGCTGGCGTAGGCTATCACTCTTTCGATGTCTTCTTGACGCTGAACGAGCACTGCACCGAGCCCAATGTTACTAGCGTCGGTATGGACCTCCGTGTCAGCATCATCGTCGAAATGAGCGAGAACGGGCGCTGATTGCATGCGCTGTCGCAGCTCATCAAAAGCTGCTTGTTGCTCGTTTTCCCAGACAAACGGTGTGTCGTCCCTTGTGAGACGAGTCAGAGGTTCTGCTATCTGTGAAAAGCCATGAATGAATCGGCGATAGTAGGCGCACAAACCAAGGAAGCGCCGGACGGCTTTCTTATCGACAGGAGCTGGTAATTCGGCAACAGCGGCAAGCTTGTCCGGATCGGGACGGATTCCTTCGGCGCTAACTACATGTCCAAGAAACTTTAGTTCTTTATAGCCGAAGTGGCACTTCTGTGGCTTTAGTGTGAGGTCCGCCGATCGGATAGCCTCCAGCACGCTGCGCAGGCGCTGAAGGTGCTGCTCGAACGTGGCAGAGAAGACCACCACATCGTCAAGGTAGACAAGACAAGTCTGCCACTTCAGCCCTGTGAGGACAGTGTCCATCATTCGCTGGAAAGTCGCCGGCGCTGAACACAAGCCGAAAGGGAGTACTCGAAATTGGTATAGGCCGTCTGGAGTCACGAAGGCTGTCTTTTCGCGGTCTCGCTGATCTACCTCGATTTGCCAGTACCCGCTTTTGAGATCGAGAGAAGTGAAATAATGGGCACGACGAAGTCTATCTAGCGAATCGTCGATACGCGGTAGCGGGTACACATCCTTTTGGTCACGTTGTTAAGCTTTCGGTAATCGACGCAGAAGCGTAGCGACCCGTCCTTATTTTTGACAAGCACGACTGGAGATGACCACGGGCTGTTGGATGGTTCGATAACGCCATCGTCAAGCATCTCGCGAACTTGCGTACGTATCGCTTCACGTTCTTTAGCCGACACGTGGTAGGGGTGCTGGTGTATTGGGCGTGCGTCCTCGTACGTGATGATCCTGTGTTGAGTGATGGACGTCTGGCGGATCTTCGAGCAACTTGCGAAGCAAGACCTGTACTCGAACAAGAGCGCTCGCAGCGCAGTCTGGTTATCGGTGGACAGATCAGGATCGATGTCAATGTTGCTCATTGATGTGTCTGCGTTATCCACTACTTCTGACGTGAGACAGTTGGTTACGTTTGCTACTTCGTGGGCAAACGCTATCGAAGTGCCACGGGAAAGGTGTCGATGCTCGTTGCTAAAGTTGGTAACGAGCAATTCAGATCGGCCGTCACGAACGTGTATTACACTTCTCGCTACACATATGCCTTGCTGCAGGAGGTGTTCTAAATTTGTCTCGGCCACCACATCGCCATCGCTCAAACCACAGCATGTTACGTCGACTAGAACACTGGCTCGGGGAGGAAGCGTCACGCTCTGTTCAGAAATACGGAGTACGTCGACACGCATTCCGTCATCCTGCACGTTGATTGCTCGCTGGGCTGAGAACGTGACGTGGCGCTCTTGCAGATCAATGATAGCTCCATTTTCCTGTAGAAAATCAACTCCCAGAATGACGTCACGGGAGCATTCACGTAGAACAAGGCAGCTTGCTACGAATGTGTACCCTTGAATCTGTACTCTAGTTGTGCAGGCACCCAGTGGAGTAACGACATGGCCACCAGCTGTCCGAATCTGCGAGTTATGCCATGGTGTGATTACTTTCTTCAGCTGCATTGTCAGTCTCCCGCTCAGTATGGAATAGTCTGCGCCGGTGTCCACTAACGCATTAACTACACAACCATCAATTGTTACTGCTATGTCGAGTGAAAGCCGGCTATCCTTTGCAGCAGCAGGTGATGTCGGAGCAGTTTCTGTACGGTTCTGCGTCAATAGGAGGTCTTCAGCGCTTCGACGTTCAGCGACCCCGCCCCCAGAGGTCGCTTCGGCTAGTTTTCCCGGCGGGGGCTGGAAGATCGTGCGGTAGAATACCGCTGGGGCGTTGATGAAAATCGCCTCGGTGATGGCGAGCGCGACTGGCGCCCGGCAGACGGTGGTGCATGCTGCTGGGAGAGGTAGTTTTGGATGTCGCGTGGTCTCTGACCGTAACGGGGTGGCGGCGAGTACGCAGAGAAGCCGCGAACCCCAAGACGGCGATATGGGCACTGGCGGTACAAGTGATCAGCTTCTCCGCAGTGAAAGCACAGAGGCCGGCGATCAGGTGTGCGCCAAACATCAGACTTTCGAGGAGACGTGCGCCGATCGTCGATGTACTGAATTGGTTGCACTGAACGATGGGCGACAGAAGCACCAGGGACGAAGGGCAGGGGCGGTGGCGTGTACGTGCCTTCGTAGTACGGTATGTGCTGCGCTGACTGTAGTGAAACAGCAGGAACAGGATGGACGAATAATGGCGGCGTTGCAGCAGGGCGTTTCAAGGCTTCCGCGTAGGTTGTCTCGCGGCGGTATTCAGTTGGAGCTGGCACAGCTGTATCATGAGGCAAGGTGTCCCGGAGGGCCTGGTGCAGCTCATCCTTGATCACAGTTGCAATAGAGTTGACTGTAGGATGAGGTGTTACACCAGCCTTTTGTAACTCTTCACGTACTATATCACGGATGAGTTCACGTAGACAGTCGTTGTTGGTTCTAGTGGCGGTGAAAATGTCGGCAGTAGACATGCCACTGACTTGCCTGTCGTATTGGTTGGATCGCTGCTGCAGCATTTTTTCCATTGTCACGGCCTCGGACAAGAACTCCGCGACCGTCTTCGGAGGACTTCGCACGAGGCCGGCACAAAGCTGGTCCTTGACACCGCGCATCAAGTGACGCAACTTCTTGTCCTCCGTCATTCTTGTCTCGGCCCGTCGGAAGAGGCGCGTCATGTCTTCGACGTACGCGGTCACAGTTTCGTTTGGCGACTGGACGCGGGCAAGAATAGCTCGTTCAGCTCTTTCTTGGCGGTCAGTGCTGGCATATGTCTGCAGAAGTCTACGACAGAATTCGGGCCACGTCGTCAGCTGCTCCTCCCGATTTTGATACCACGTGCGAGCCCCGTCTTCGAGATAGATGTAGACACGACCCAGTTTCGCCGCGTCGTCCCACTGATTCAAGTTGGCTACGCGCTCGAAGTCCGCCAACCAGTCCTCAACGTCTTCGCGCTCCGTACCATGGAACGTCGGCGGTGCCCGTGGGCTTTCCAACGTATAGCGGTTCGGCGACGTGCTTCCCGTGCCGGTTGCCAAGGTTTGTACCGAAGTGCTGGTCATGTTTGTTGACGTGGTGGGAGCAGTATCGTTGACTTCCGGAGGCAATCCCCTGATTCGGCGGCTGGTCCGATGCACGGGAGTGTTGACTGGCACTGGACTCGTATTACGGCTTCCTGGGGGGGTCTGCAGCATCCGTGAGGCTACCCAGCACCTTCCACCAATTTGTCACGATGAGTCACAAGTACTGGGGGATTTATTGAACGACCGGGTAGCTAGCTCTAGGACGATGCGTCAGTCGTGGCTGGCTCTCGAGCAGAGAAGAAAGCACGCGATCATCTTTTTCCTCCAGATTGAGAGCCGCTCTTGCTGTCGACCCACTACGTGCTGGTGGCAATATGGTGGTTTTGGGACGTTAAGCCCCACAAATCAATCAAATCAACTTTTGTTTTTCTGCACGCCGCGCATACGCCGAGATGTACCCAATCGCTGATGATCGCGTCAAATGTATTTTTACTTTGACTACAATGTCAGATCGTAAAGTTCCATCGACAACTTGCAACCGGCCCACAACGAATAACAATGTTTTCGCAAACAGGACGCATCGCGCTATTCACTCTGCACACACCACGTACGATATTCCCAGTTTCACCGTCCGTAAAGGTGAACCGATATTATTGATGCCTTTCAACGCACACTACACGCCACAGTCAACACTACACATTTTAGAAGGCGATGCCGCTGTTCCTCGCACAGGCAGCCACGTGTGCTCGCTTCTCCGAGATAAACAGCCAGGTAGCGCGGCGAATATTTCATCACGCACTTTATCACACACCTAGATTTTCTCTGACACATACCACAGCTAATGTTGCCACTGTGAGATGAAAATTAAGCTTTCAAAAAGAAAAAAAAATGTGCCCCAAGCACCGAGCGACTGCACCATACTCAGCCACCGGCGGGAATGTTTTGCCAACCACCGCCTTGCACGTGCACCGGTGATGTCACGCTGTGACGTACCCCGGTAGAGGTCTATTTGTGCATGGTCATGAGCCTGGTGTCCTCACCAATGTCTGGATACAGTTTGGATGCTTCCGTGAGTAGGCATATACATGACTATGAGGAATAACTAGCCTTAGAGTCACATTCTTTAACTATACACTACCGCTAATGCGGCTTCTACATCTTTGAGCCTGTTGCAACAAAAGACGCAATGCATCACTTCTTGACCTTCAATGTTGTGCGCTTGTCACTTTATTTTACATGAATTAGCATGTGTTGGGCGCTATATTGCTTTTTCCTTCTGCTTTATGTGTTTTTGTACCGAGTGACTTGTTGGTAAGCAAGTATCATGAAATATATTATGTTTATGTAATTCAGAAGTCGTGTTGATTCTACGTAGTCTCAAATAGGCCAGGGTAATCATGGTTCGATTTGTCTCTGCTAAGGGCTACTTATTAACAGTGCATCTCGACTTCAGCACTTCACAAACTTCTGGTGTTGATGCATTTGATTCGTTTATCTGAGTATTTCTGTAGTTCATATCAACTGTAGTTCAATAAATGTAGTTAAATAACGTCCGCGCTGAGTACTCTTGTCATCTTCGATGGTGATCGATTGTTTCACCGCCTCGTGGCACCAAGTTGCCTAGCTGGCCAGCCGCAACGGTAGCACACTGACAAAGCAAGCACGACACCGATATGGGACACTTTCGCTCTCCTTGTCAGACCAACTTGCTCAGACACTGAAGGCTTAGGCAAAGCAAAAGACGCGAGACTACCACACCCGTGAGGCACCTGGAGGCCGGCCCAGCAAGGTTGCCCAGACTACCACCACTGAACAGTACTGCTTCATTGGCCGCAGCCTTCGCATTAATCGGGACCACCGGAACGTCTTTCTCGCTCACTTGCACTGCCTCGCCTTTCGGTTTCGCACGATCGTCGCTGTCTTCCGTCGTGTGCTCGGACACCGGACGCGTCCGGCGGGTCTTGGCACCTGCGCTGAAGTCATCCACTTCCTCTAACGCACCGCCGGATTCCGCCCGCTCCTTGTCATGATGTGTCGCCGATGCAGCCCTTGGGGTTCGTAATCCTCGTGGCACTGCAACTCTGCTAGGCTTAGCCCGGCCACTTGAGTTCTGCAGCTCTCGTTACTCGACGCTCCGTCATTGCAGCAGGTGATGTCCCGCAGTTCGCGATGGAACTTGCCGTTCAGCGTGACATTCTGCAGGCGCTGCACCCAGGCGAGACGGCAGTCGCAGATAAACTTGTTTCCTGCGCCACAATGTGAGTTTAAATTAATCCTGTGTATTCCCTAATTACCATACATGGCCAGAACATATTAAAAAATTGCGATTAAGCTAGCCACCGCCTTGCCTTAAAATCAATTTGAAATGTGGTTACTCTATGCTCGAGCGATGCCACCAGCTCAGATACATTTCTAGGGTAGGCTAGTTTAATCACAATTCGGTGATACTGTGTATGCCCACATATGTGGACGGTAATATACGAAGTGTTAAGTGATGTAGGTTCTCAAGAAATGTGGTACGCATTATGAATTTATTCATATTTTTTATCACGGAAGGTGTATTCTAAAATGTAAGAAGAACGTTTAAGGAATATTTCATAGAAGAGGACAAGAAACAGTTGCTTTCGTTCGACAGCTGTTCGTGACTCACGAGTTTGTGTTTTTTTACCGTTGCTCTCATTTGCTTTTACCTTACATGTGTACGAGCTGCGATATTTTTTTTTGCTCTTTGGTTTTTATGTACATACTCCTGAGGAGGCCATTCCCGGTGGTCATTTGCAATATATCTCGTTCGTTATTGTTGTCCTTGTTTATTGCGTACATATTCGCATACAGCTACTATTAGTGCAAGTATTACTACTGATAGTGCTAGTCATAGTAATCTACAATAAACATTCTTCATCATTAGCACCTACTTTTTGTCGAAGCATCTACATAATTGAAAGAAATCATTTCACATTTCAATATAGTATGCGAAGTCCACAAGTACGTCCGATTCTATGCTTGCATTTGCACATTTCAGGGGTGTTTCTGTTTTTTACATCTAACGTTTATTTACAAGCACAAACGGTACGACAATTTTCCACTTACTTCTGAGATGTCACCCAGCAGCACGCTTACCTGTAAGACCCATGTGGAAGGATTCGGTGTCAATTTTTCTCAAGTCTTCAACCGTCCTCCAAGTGAGCGTCAGCAGCTCATTCTGGGAGAGGTCAACGCTCAGAAGATTCGGAGCACCCGCGAACATCTGGGCGGGAAGAAAGCGCAGCCTGTTGAACGCCAAGTAGAGGATGTTCAGTTGCGGCAGGCCCTCGAATGCCAGGGGGTCCACTTCGGCGACACCGTTGTACTTTAGGTCAAGCTCGACAAGCGCGGCCATCGGGCTGAACACCCGAGCTCCGAGTCTTCTGATCTTGTTGCGAAACAGGTCGAGTCGTATGGCCCTCGACAGGCCCTTGAACGTTCGCTCAGTTAGGTTCTCAATGACGTTGTCGCTCAGGTCGAGCTCTCTGAGGTTGGAAAGCTCCTTGAACGCGTAGTCTTCGACGTTCTCGATCTCGTTCCTCTCGAGGAAGACCTGAGTAAGGGTTGGAAGACCGCGGAAGGAACCGGCGGGGACGACTGTCAGCTTGTTGTCTCCGAGTTCGAGTCTCTTCAGGCGCGGCAGGTCGGCGATACATTCTTTCCCCAGGGTCGTTATGGCATTCGAATCCAGCGAAAGCCACGCTAACCTAGTGAGGTTGTAGAATGAATGTGTTTGAGAGCACCCAAGTCCGACTGCGTGAACTTCAGTCGCTCCAGCCGGGAACAGTGTCTCAGAGCACCGGAGGGCACGAAAGTCAGTTTGTGCTTGAGGTTCAGCGCGTTGAATCCCAAGGAAACTACGGACGCGTGGCCTCGAAAAGAGTTGAACACAACGTGGTCGGGAGTTATGGGTCTGGTGACGTAACAGAACACGTCCGTGGCGTCGTCCGCGAAATCTTCGACATCGCACCGGCAGTACAGCGGCTGGTCCATGAGGCGGCAGAGGTTTGGCACTAGGTCCGATGAGTCGGTGCCGGCCACGAATAGGAAAATGCATGGCGATGAAGCTATGAAAGGCTGTAACAGACGGGAAAAATATTTGAGAGCTATATAATACAGAGTGACATGACAACATCGTTAAACGACGATGAGCAAGCAGGGCCTGCCTCAACATTTCGGGTGCATGACCACTTATTGGCACCACTTACGGCACATGAAAGTATGCTCGGCGCTGCATACGTCAGCATGACAGTCCCAACTGGAAGGTGTCGTTTACCAAAGATTTACAGGCTAGCATGGGTACACTGGGGTGGGCGATCCAGGCTTAGCCAGTGGAATGAGAAGAGTGTCACTACTGGGTGGTTACTACGTCACTACTAGGAAGCTAAACGTTCACTTACAACTGCACCTCGGCAAGTCTTATTATTATTATTATTATTATTATTATTATTATTATTATTAGAAACATATTCACCATTATGAATCAAACTAGTGAGTCACAACACAGGAGCTAGTGTTTAAAAAATGACTACTCTAATCTGTCAGTGGCTATTGTTTTATTTTATTTGTTATCAATGTAAAGCCCAACTTGAGTAGTCGTTAATCAATCTCAGTAAGTGGTGTTTAGAAAAAGAATAGCGAGCCGGTTCCACCTATCAATAGCGTGGGAAGCAGCAAGCAGAGTCGATCATTCAAGCACTATTAAAGTACCTACGGGAAATGAAAGTATGATTGGAACTGTGCTTACGTCGGCATTAAAATGCCAACCGGAAGGCTGTCGTTCCAAGTGTTCAGCAAACATTTACAGCACGTGACTGGGCTCCGCGCAATGTACCTTCCGTCTATCGTCTCACGCTTCAGTATTTCTTCTACCAGCATCGGACGTCCCTCTTTCGTGCCGTCGTGCAGGGGAAAGTCTTGTGTCTGGTTTTAAAATTCAGCAAACTGATGTAACGCTACCACTTGTTCATCAAATTTGCATTATTGGGATAAATAATAAATCCTGCCACACACGTATATACGGGACTCAAGGAGATATATGCGAACTGAAGCCGAATTTTCTTTCACGTCAATCGTTCTAGGTGTTTTTATCTGTTTTCGAGTAGCGAAGGGAAAGCTTATTTTTAAGCAGCTAGGCGGAGCTGCATGTGCCTTGCCGCCCCCTCTCTCAATAAGCTTCTTTCATTGATAGAGCCGACGAGAGATCGATTCGGGCGGCAGTGTAGCTTGAGAATTAATAGGCCCCAAAAAATCAAGCCGTAATTTCAGCTTAGCGAGTATCTACATGCCCGATTAAAGCAGGCCACATTGCTTCTTGCACTGGTGTCACTCTATCAAAAGTTTCCAGCTGCCGTTTTAAAGGGCTGCCTTTTCTGAAGCTCACATAGCGTCACGGCTCTGTCGCAACATCCTCGCAAGAAAATTAGAGGGGCAGAAACGAATCACGCGGAGCCAACGGCCGGTCAGTTCAACATTTCGTAACTACGGCGCTCACCGCGCGGAGCTGTAAACGCGAGCAACTTTCTTCGGCACTCAGTCGAGTCCGCAACCGTGAGAGCGCACCATCCTACTACTCGCGGCGACCGTAGCAGCAGCAGCGTCGAGAACCGATCCCAAACAACGCCGTTTATCGCCACCCTCCTCCATCCCCCAAGTATAAACCTCGTCGACCAGGGCGGGCGGCTCGCTGTTCACGACCTCCTCTCCCTGTGGTATAAGTGCCGCTCCATTTCCGTGGAGGCCGCCCCAACAAAACGCAGGCTGGTATGCAGAAGTGGACGGGTCTTGAACGTGTACACGTTCTCGTGTGTGTTTGTGTCTTGGAGGGCAGTGTGCCCGGACGGGTGGTGCGCGCTGGAGCGGGCGTAGTTGAGGTCATCTGTGGCAAGCGAGGGTCAACACCTCAGTGAGAGGGTGCAGTTTCGACCGGTGTGCGCTTAGCATCCGGAAGCCGCAGCTGGAGCGACGTGACGTCTGACTCTCTCCACCCCGGAGCCATCTGGACCGTACTGACTGCCAGTGCGCCCCCCCCCCCTTCTCCCAGCCACGCCGCGTCGCGTCTGTTACGCGGACCAGGACAAGGAATCGGGTGTTTGCGACCCGTGCTGCTGGAGTTGCTGTTCACGTTCGTTGACGATCCAACGCGCTCGTTGTGGCGTTTCAAAGCGGAGCTGCGCGTGTAACGTAGGCTCGAAAGGACGATCGATTGACGCCGAATATCTGTATCATTCCACTAAATTGTTTAGTTTGCCCTTCTCATCAACATAAACGGAGGGTGTATTCTAAAATGTAACGAGGAACGTTTAAGGTATATTTCATAAAAGGGGACAAAAAACTGTTCCTTTCGTTCGACAACTGTTCGTATATTCAGCCACCATGATTGTTCTATCCAAGTCTACGTAAAGGCGGAGGTCCTGTAGCCACAACAACATCTCGCGTCAGACTTTGTCCGCAAGACGAACTCTCAGACAACTCTGACCAGGATTAGCGAAAGTTTCAGCGTAGAACAGATACGAAGCACTTTGTCGATTTAGCCCCTCTATTTACTACGTCCGTTCAGCAACTTTCAATGTGTACGGTCTCTCTTAAAGTATTAGGCTATACAGAAAAAAAAAAAATGCAAGCTGTATGGCTCTGTGCATTGCAGGTTTCGTAATCCGCCGACAACCCGAGCGCTGTACACCGTGTAGCCACCGGTTACTTCGACCTGCCTTGTGTGGTTTCGCTGGCAGCGCGGCTGTTTCGCCGGAGTCCGCCATGCACAGTCGCATAGGTCGGCATACGTCGAAGACCGGCGAACGTACACAACACACAGGGCGTCCTTTGTGATCAATAGCTTGATACAGAGGAAGAGATGATATCGAGGAGGAGACGAAGCCTTTTCAGCGCGGATACCGTGCTTGCCAGATCACCGCGTCGATGCAGTCGTGGGGCATTGCACGCACTCGCGCCTGCAAGTGCTCACTTTTGAACATTTACAGCAGAGCTGTTACATAGAGTCGAGGTTTGCCGTTTGTCGTTGATAGAAAAGTATCACCGTAAGAAATAGGCACGCCCTCAACAACCCCCAAGCGCTCTGTAGTGATGGTTGCCAAGAGAAGCTGCAAGGTGCGACCCCTAATCGGAGGTTGCCGCCCGAGTGTACCTGTGTTAATATTTAGCGTACAAGCTTGATGGGTAGCGGGATATGCCCAATATATGTGTCCCATACGCGCTGTAGGAGTGTTTTAGAGCAGAGATGTTGTCGTCGTGATTTGCCTACACTCATTGAGAGGTAGAAACAGAAAGAAACAAGTTAATAAAAAATGAGATAGATAGATAGATAGATAGAGAGAGAGAGAGAGAGAGCAGCTGTGTATAGCAAGGAATGGGGAAGAGGCAGGTGAGAGCGTAAACGTCTAGCCAAGTTAGGACAACCTAGATGTTACCAGCTGTGCTGTTACCCAGGCTTGCGTGACTTAGTTCAAGCTTTGCTATTTTTTTTGTTGTTGTGTTGTCTAAACACTGTGCCAGTTATTTGTATATATCGATTTCTTGATATTGTCTGCAGTAATCATGTCAGCTGCTTCGTTTTCATTATACACGTGCTACTTATATTTGTGCCTGTCTTTTTCAATATTCATTGTACTGTTATTCGGAACAGTGAGCATTGCGTCGATTTAGTGGGATTTTTTCGACCCTCATGGGACAGGCGCATCGTCGGGCTTCATTTGCCTTTCCACTGGTACCCTATGTACTTTTCTGCCTGAAGGAATAAACTTCATCTTTCACCCACATGTGAAAGCTCGTCGCTGAACTGAACCAATGTAATCATGTGCCCTCGTAACGAAACAGACGCAGGTCAGCGCCAGTCAGAGCGTGAATACCGCCACCACACTCTCTGGCTTGGAATGGGTACGAATACGTACATTGCACTCCATCTTCCACTGTTATCATGCGTCGTGTCGGGTGCCCCTTCTATATGGCCCATTTAAGCGGTAGCGATGGTCCACGCTGATGAAGGAGAGCAGGGAGGATGAAATGTGAAATGTACCGTTCTGTCTTTGGCGGAAATGAGGTGGGACTAACAAGAAAGACGCGCGCCTCCTTCGCAGTTTGAGTGACAAACGAAAATTACCAAAATGTGCGCTAGGCGATAATATACGCGACTGGTACACAGAATGTTGCATATTCTTGCTCAGTGCAGAAATACAACCATCCGTTTTTAGAACGCGCAGATGATGCTTGCTGGTAATCTATATGTGAGTTGTGGTAGCGTCTTTCCCGATACAAAATGTGTTCCCTTCGCTCGGTTTGTTTGTTCTCCACTGTTGCTGCTGATGCATTAAACTTCAGGGAAGGATTCCCGCGCGAAACCGACGTTAGTTTTAAATTTTACGCCTTCTGGCAGAAAAAAAAAAAAACCTTACCTGTCAAACTGCGTCGTTCGCCCAAATGTTGCTTCTCGCGGCCGTGGATGCTCCTTTGGGCCACGTTTCCCGCAATCGTTAATGCAAAGTCAATGTCTTCGACAGTGGTGGCTAAAGCCCACGACACCTCATAAACTTCGCTCAATTGAGCTTAAGACTTCCTAGTGTACGTGTAACACATTCCACAATATTGCAGGAGGAGAGGCCGCTTATTGCGAGTGTCAAATGAGCCCCGTGTTGGACTTAGCCGCGATTGTCGCTGCTCAATAAATGAAACTTCGACGACAAGTAGGTCCGGTGAGCTCAGAACACTGCATGAATGAAGTGTTGCCATTCTTAACTGGCAAGACGTAAACGGTTGTGTAATTAGTAATTACTTCAGTGTGGCTGGTCCATCATGCACTTTCGTTCTCAAAAACGGCTCCGATTCATTCTCATTCTCTACTGAACGGATAATACACATGATAACAATAAGTTCCAGCTACTAACATTTCAACGAAAGATGCTCATTTAAAATTAACGAGTTCATTGAAATACTGATGCGTGGAACTCGAAATGTCTCACCTCAATATCAGCAGAGGAAGACACGAGTTGCGCCGCGTCGTCTTGTCCGACAGCTGCGAGCCAACGACCGGCGAGCGGGAGGCCAAGGGCCACCGGTTTTGTTTGTCCGAGCGCGCGTCCACTGCGGCGGGCATTCTGCGTGTCCAGCCGGCGGAAGAGCCGTCGCAGAAAGAGGTACGTACGCGCGTGAGCACAATAATCCGTGTGACAGCGCCGATGTGGACGGGCCGAGATCCATCAGCACTGGCAAGACAAACGCGAAAGGTTGGCTACGAACTCGCTCTCTGCTGCCGCCGTCACTTGCTGCGGCTTAGAAGTGTTTGAGCCGTTTGAACCGGCCGGGCCGGGCGACCCCATGAGTGAGCAGGCGCCCGTGGTGCGGCGGCACCGTCGTTATTGAGCAGAGGGGAGACGTGAGTGAGTGAGGGAGTGAGTGAGAGTGTGTGTGTCAACGGAGGCTTGTTGTGTGGGACCGGGCATTAAAAGAATCACAAAAAAATTATTACCAAAGTAGATTGAGTTGATATAAATACACTCGTGCTACGGTATTTCTGCAGAGTGCTGACCGGAGTGTTTATTCGCCCGTCGACGATTGATATAATGCAGAAACACGTAAAGATGTAAATCACAGCGAGGAGAGTCTATTAATGGGCTGCTGAAGGCTCCCTCGAGAAGAACACCGCTACGTATTTCATACACCCTCCCTGAGAGGGGTTATTACGGTTTTTTTTTTGTTGTTGTTGCTTATGCGGTGCTTGGAGGATGACGAGACCTTCTGCTGTAGCATGAACAAATAATTTATGATGGGACAGATTTAGGAGTCACAGAGAATGGCACGTTTCTACATATGAAAACTAGAAATTTCAAAATCGCGTATTTTGTTACTTTGTAGCAGTGTTGCGAAATGGGCACCTCCATTGCAATTCCATTCCGAGGAATCAGAACTTGCCGCAGTTCCATTCATTTGAATTCCTCGGAATGAAAGAAAAAAAACAGCTTATTCCCATTCCGGGAATTGCCAGGAAGTTCGATTTCAATTCTTTTAATTCCTCACCGTAGGAGAGGCATCTTGATAGTTTGATAGAGTTAAGGATGAACGCCCCATATAGCTGGTGTCATCACATGCATTAAGAACTGCAGAAGTACGCAAAACATGTTACCAAGGTCCAGGGATAGTAGCGTTGTGACATATCTCGTGCAGTACAATCACTGTACTAATTCCCGTAGGGCCAGTTTCTACTTACAGTGTTTGCATGGTCAGGGTGTTGAAACGAATGGTGATATTTTAATATTGTTTAGGCTTAAATGTGTTGGTGCTAAAATTATGACATAGTGTATATGGACTGTTTTTCTTTTGTATGCAGTTTACAGACCCCCTAATTCATCTCCTGATGTTTTACTTGTCTTACTAAATCACTTGTGACCACACAGAAAACACAAAATCATACTTGCCGGTGACATTAACCTCCCATTTATTAACTGGAGCCGCGTATATTAGAATCCGAAATCTGCACGCGATGTGGATATACTGTTTGATATTATTCTTGCAAACAACCTTGTCCAGATTGTCGAGGAACCTACGCGCTTTGCCAATAACGCAAGTTCTGTGCTTGATCAGGTGTTCGTAGATCGGTCTGTCTCATATTAGGTGTTTCTGTTGAAATGGGTTTCTCTGACCACTTGCTGGTTTTAGTTTCAGTTCTACTTCCTGCTAATCACGTCAGGCATCTGCCTGGCTTCAAAACTGGGAAAGACTACATGCGTGCCAATGATGATGCCATTTTGAATCATCTCGAAACTGAACTTGCGGTATTTTAAGAAGGTGATACTTTACTGCATTGGTCGAACTTCAAAAATATTTGCCTATACTGCATCGATCATTTTGTACCCAGTAAAGTTAAAAAAAAACAAAAAACGGCAAAATATACTTCTCGGATAAAGAGACACATTAGTCACTTAAAACGCAAAGCTAAGCGTTTGAGAAAACGGTCGCCTGCTTCACATGCATTACGTTAAGTTCGTACGGAACTCTGTGAGGCTGTTCAAAAGGCAAAAAACGTTTTATTTCAACACTACCCTGCCGAGCTTTATGAAAGATGAGCCACAGAAATATTCGAATTATATTAAAGAGCGCAAGGTGCCAGAACATAAATTTTCACGTAATAATAAAATACTGGATCACTCAAAGGTTGTCGCCAACCATTTAAATAACCGATTCCATAGTGTATTTTCTGTTACTTCTGATAATCGTGCCGCTGGCTCCTCGTTGAATTCTTTCGATGTTTACCTTGCATATTATGAGAGAGTTTTTAATATGATAGATTGATATGTGAGGTTTGACGTCCCGGAACCATTATATGATTGAGAGACGCCGTAGTGGAGGGCTCCGAAAGCTTCGACCACCTGGGGTTCTTAAACGTGCACCCAAATCTGAGCACACGGGCCTACAACATTTCCGCCTTCATCGAAAATGCAGCCGCCGCAGCCGGGATTCGATCCCGATACTTGCGGGTCAGCAGCCGAGTACCTTAGCCATTAGACCACCGCGGAAGGGCGAGTTTTCAATATGCTACTGAAACTGAAGGTAAAATCATCACCTGGACCGCATGGAATACCTAACGCATTCCTTCGCCGACATGCTGAGCCCTTAGCTACTAGGTTTCTTGTAACAGTATTTCAATCTTCTTTAAAAACCTCTGACATCCCTCATGACTGGAGAACAGCATGCGTGGTTCTCATACTGAAAAAAGGTGATCCGTTGTCAGTTGTACATTACCGCCCAATATCTATCATTTGTTCGTGTTGTAAACTCGTGGATCATATTGTGGCTACTTTCATAACTACAATTTTAGACGACAATAACATACTGTCACCACACCAACATGATTTTAGAAAAGGATTTCCTACCATTACTCAACTGGCTTCTGTTGTTCATACTTTAGCATCCGTTCCTGGCAGGAGCGGTCAGGTCGACATGATAGACTACAGCAAAGCCTTTGGCCGCGTTTTTCATGACAAATTAATTCAAAAACTGTACAAGATTGGCCCTCACAATTTTCTTGTTTCATGAGTTTCCGTCTATTCGAATAACGGCACACAATATGTAGAATACATGGGGAAACATGAGGCACTGTTCCAGTATCTTCAGAGGCGCCCCAGGGCAGTGCCCTGGGGCCACTTTCGTTCTTAATTTACATCAATGACAGTCTCAGTCTTCAATGAACCGATGAAAATAGGCCTATTTGCAGACGATTGTGTTTTACACAACGATATTCATTTCACAGACGATCAACGTGCGCTTCACGTAGCCTTCAGTGAAACCCTTACATGGTGTGATGAAGGGGGCATGGACCTTAGCACTGATAAGACTATTTCTTCGCGTCACAAAAACACTTCAACCACTTAAATTTTACTATTCCATTGGCTCTAAACTCTTAACTGAGGTCTGTGAATATAAGTACCTAGGTGTCACTTTAACAAATTACTTAAGTTGTAACGCCCATATTGCTAACACATGTTCTGCTGCTCTTCGCAAACTTTGCTTTATACGGCACAAGCTAAAGAATTCACCACCACACAAAACATTTCTATCTAGGACGCAGGGTCTTCCCCCCCCCCCCCCCCTCCACGCAGTAAACTAAAGAGAACTCAGGCCGTTACACTCAGGTGATTACAAACAAGAACATATCCGGATCCACTGTTAATTAACAAAACTTATCCGGAGTTTGGCGTTCCTACAACATGCGATGAATGCCATGACGCCACAGATCTTGCTCTTATGCTCTGGCGTTGCTACGCGTTACGCAGCGACACGGAAAATGCCGAAGAACCATGGGACGCAGATTTGCGCAGTCCTACATTGGATGGACAATTACTACATTAGAGGTTCAGGTAGAACCAATGAAGAAATATAATTTGTGGCATCCTTCAGTATGTGCTGGGATAATGCATTTGTGTGTATACTAACTTATGCCTCGGTTTCTCTTTTAAATATCGGCAGATCGTTCATACTTTTACATCATACCCTTGGCTCTGGCTGACAAGGTTGACTAAAAGAAGTTGTTGTGGCTGATAGGTTCGGCTACGAAAAAAAAAAATGTACTCAGGCCTGCATGAAACCGTAAATCGTCCGTCCGTCCGTCCGTCGCTATCTATCTATTCTATCTATCTATCTAATCTATCTATCTATCTATCTATTCTATCTATCTATCTATCTATCTATCTATCTAGCTATCTATCTATCTATCTATCTATCTATCTATCTATTCTATCTATCTAGCTATCTATCATCTATCTATCTATCTATCTATCTATCTATCTATCTATCTATCTTCTATCTATCTATCTATCTATCTGTCTGTCTGTCTGTCTATCTATCTATCTCTATCTATCTATCGATCTATCTATCTATCTATCTATCTATCTATCGTATCTATCTATCATCTATCTATCTATCTATCTTCTATCTATCTATCTATCTATCTATCTATCTATCTTATCATCTATCTATCTATCTATCTATCGATCTATCTATCTATCTATCTATCTATCTATCTATCTATCTATCTATCTATCTATCTATCTATCTATCTATCTATCTATCTTATCTATCCTACTCTATCTATCTATCTATCTATCTATCTATCTATCTATCTATCTATCTATCTATCTATCTATCTATCTATCTATCTATCTATCTATCTATCTATCTATCTGTCTGTCTGTCTATCTATCTATCTACTATCTATCTATCTATCTATCTATCTATCATCTATCTATCTATCTATCTCTATCTATCTATCTATCTATCTATCTATCTATCTATCTATCTATCTATCTATCTATCTATCTATCTATCTATCTATCTATCTATCTATCTATCTATCTATCTATCTATCTATCTATCTATCTATCTATCTATCTATCTATCTATCTATCTATCTATCTATCTATCTATCTATCTATCTATATCTATCTATCTATCTATCTATCTATCTATCTATCTATCTATCTATCATCTATCTATCTATCTGTCTGTCTGTCTGTCTGTCTATCTATCTATCTATCTATCTATCTACTATCTATCTATCTATCTATCTATCTATCTATCTATCTATCTATCTAGTCTATCTGTCTGTCTTCTGTCCTGTCTGTCTTCTGTCTGTCTGTCGCTGTCTGTCGTCTGTGCTGTCTGTCTGTCTGTCTGTCCTGGTCTGGCTGTCTGTTCTGTCTGTCTGTC